AGAAGGTGAGGGAGATCTTCCTGTTGATTTGCAATGTTCAGACTGGAACCCCTTTAAAAACTCAGAGAGGAATCCGGGGTAGCTGGAGCCATTCCTAGTCCTGGACATGATCAACGGTTTATGTCTAAAGGCGCAGGGATCTCAATCTGGTGATTTAACAGATGAGTTTGTGTTTTGTGTAACTTTGGAATAGCAGCAATTTAAAGTGGAATAGCAGCAATTCAAAGCTCATTAACACTATTAAGATAAATCACAAAACAAAATAAAGATTCACAGAGTGGAAGGGGTTTGAAGGGATGTCTAGAGATCATCTAACCCCGCTTTTTTGGGCTAAACGAGTACCTGCACATTTATAGATGTTCATGATGATTTCCCCACAGAAGTAGTGAACGGGGATTTAGATAAACTAGATGACTTTTTGGAAACCTATCATGCTCACCTGTCTCCCCAAAGGTGGGAATGGGCAAAAAATCACTGGTTCCAATTGCAGAGTATAGTGGATAGGATCATGATGTTGCAGAAGGAGACTAAAAATAAGACCGGGAAGGGAAAATCCATAATTTGTGCAGTTTTGGGAGCAAGTGTGGCAGCAGCCGTGGAAGATAGGAGGCAGAAGCTGTGTCAAAATGATACCACAATAGACTTCTTGAACATGATAAATAAACCGTTAAGAGAGCAGTTAAGCGAGACCCAGCAGCTGTTAGAGGAGGAAAGAAACCAGAACGTTTTACTAAAAGAAGCATTGAGAGAAGAATTGTGGAAAGAGAGTGACTCATGTGGAGAGGTGGAATCAAAGTTAGAAGAGAGAGGCATTAGGCAAATTTATCCCCAGGGGGACTTGGAGAGAGCAAAAGCAACAGTAGATAGTCTTCCTCATATATATCACCATATGTATCCCCTGGTCAAAACTGAGGATTTATATGAGGTTGATAACGATGATCACCCCCAAGTTATAACTAAAGAGGTTCTGTTTACAGCGACTGAGTTAGCAAAATTAAGGAAAGATTCTGCAAGTAATCCAAAGGAATCAGAAACAGAGTATGTCTGGAGAATATCATTATCAGGGGGAGATGGAATCCTGTTGTCAGAAAAGGAAGCAGAAGGATATTGGGCTCCAGGTGTGTTTCTAACAACCAACAATTATCATGCCCCATGGTCATTGATGCAGAGGACAGCATATTGGGCTGGGGGGCTGAACCCTTTGGAGGGGGGAGACCCCTAGCAATGACAGGTACAGTGGATCAACTGGTAGAAAGTGTGCAAAAGGTAGCTTGTTTGCAGATGACGTACGATAGGGAGCTCAAACCTAACCAGAGCTCCCCAGTGATGATGCCTGTGGATCTGGAACGGACGACTTCTCTAATTCAAGAACTTCCTGATTCTCTAAAGCCCATTGGGATCCAGCTGCAGGGGAAGATACAAAATACCCCTGTAGCAGACAGAGTTACAGCCTCCCTCGAGGGGGTAACGGCCCCCAGTCACCAGTGGTCAGGGAGAAAAGTGTGGACGTGGGGAGAAGTAGCCCAAGAACTAATTAATTTTGGGAGAAAATATGGTCCTCTTGGTGGATCCTGGCAAAGACCCAAAACCAAAACTGTATGGGCCGCAGGAAAAGGAGAGAAGCGATTGGCGCTGGTTAAGAGAAGTCAGGATTTAAAATCAGTCCGATTTACTGATCCTGGGAGGGGAAGACCCCGAGGCTCCAAGAATGGTGGCAACTGGGACTCCAGAGAGGCATTCCCTGAGATCTAATGGATGGGCTTCTGACTCAGAAATTGGAGACACTTGTACGAAAATGGTCAGGGAAAAAAAATAAATGTTGAGACAACCCCTAGTGCCCCAACAGGGATAGACTCCGGGGAGGAACCTAACGAAGAAAAGAGGGTGATGGGAAACTAGACCCTCCGTCCCCTGAAGGTGAGGGGGAAACAGGGGATGGATGTTTATAAGACAACTCACCTTAAATATGAGAGGGGATTTATTGACTACAGTGACTGTAGGGCCACAGAAAAAAGAAGTAACCTTTTTAATTGGTACAGGGGCACAAATCACCGCACTGATGTGGACTGAAACAGATCAGAGTGGAATTTTGACTTTGTATAAAAATTTGATTGTCTTTAATGCTTTGGGAGAAACCCAATTGGTACCAATGGTCTCAGTAATATTATGTCTGCCTGGGGAGGAAGACCCAGTTAACACCCAGGTTGCAATAGGCTCTTTCCCGACAAATCTTTTGGGCATAGATGTATTGAAGGGCAGACAGTGGTATGATACCCAGGGAAACTCATGGTCTTTTGTTAATCCTCAGATCAGAAAATTAGTTGAAGCATCCTGGCCAGAGGTGTGCCTATTGCACGCAGAACCTGCCCTTCCCCCATCCAAAATAACTAACGTGAAGCCATACCTGTTGCCATTAGGGGCCCGGAAAGGAATATCCCCTGTGATTGAGGATCTTAAACAACAGGAAATTTTAGTGTTCACCCACTCCCCGTACAATTTCCCCGTGTGACCAGTGCGTAAACCAAACGGTAAGAGGAGACTGACCATAGTTTATTGTCGAATTAATGCGAATACTGGCCCCTTGATGGTGGCAGTATATAACATAGCTGAGCTAACCTCACTCATTCAGAATCAAGCTCACCAGATGATGGCCACAAGTGATTTGAAAGATATGTTTTTCACAGTTCCCTTGCAGGAAAAGGACCGTGATCGTTTTGCTTTCACATGGGAGGGACAACACTTGCCTCCCTCAAGGCTATAAATATTCTCCCACCTTAGCACATCATGTTTTGGTGCTTGAGCTAACCCAAATTCCCCCGGGACCAGGAGTTAGAGTTTATCAATATATTGATGATATTTCAGTAGGAGGGGATCAAATTACTCCAAGGTAGGTGTCGTGGTTTAACTCTGGC